TATTTTCATTGTACGTTTTCCTTAGGAGTATGCTAGAATAATGAGGATAAGTGTATTTTGCATGTAGACAATACTATTTAAAAGACAGCAGTGAATCATGCATGCATTTTGAAGTTTAGATGTAAGAATTAACTGACTCATCTCCTCTGAGTGTAATAACATATTATAAAGTCCTGATGGAATCTACAAAAATGAGTTATTCGGAGGACAAAGGACCTCTTATTTATTATTTAAGTGAAAGTTAAATCAATTTGTAAGGAGTCGATTCCGAACCATTTTATTTTGTTTGGGGATTATTTTTAGCTCGTTATTCTATTTATTTTGCGGTATTTTATTTCGCTAAGGGTAAACTTACCGCACCTGACCCACGCAAAATTCTACAACTCTAACTTCTGGCGGCAACCCAGAAACGATATTTCGGGAGAGACTTCCACAGGAAGTTAAGAGAATGATCTCCTGCCCCAAATTGTGGCAAAATGGCACAACGAAAAAATTATAAAAGATTAAATATAAGGAGGGCGATGACACGATTTAAAGAAAGATTTCTAGAAGTAAAGAATGTTAGCCACTTAAGTATGTAAATAGGGTCGAATGGGTGTAATTATGTAATATTAGCGAGGTTAAAGCAAGGCTTTCAAGTTTCATTGACCACACAGAAGTTTTTTGGTGACTGTTAGGCAAATTTAATTTGTAAGATTTCTTTGTGAATTTCCGATAGATTTCAATTTCATATTTCTGCTTGTCGATTTTATGGAGATAATTATAATTTAATTTTTACGTCCCAAAGTGTCGAGAAAGTTCTTATTTTAAAACTATTACTAAAACAATGTAATNAGCTCTTGGCACAGACAGATTATTTACACAGACATAATCAAGTAGCAAATATAATACACCAAGAGCTTGCAAAGAAACACAACTTGGTAGATATCCACAAACCATACTACAAATACATTCCACAGACAGTATTGGAAAACAACATGCACAAAATGCACTTTGACAGAGCCATAATCACAGATAAAACAATTTACCACAACAGACCAGACATCACACTGACAAACACAATAAAATCACATACATAGCCATTCCAAACACTCACAATGTACAAAACACTGCACTGAAAAAATTAGCAAGTACACAGAACTTGCCCAGGAAATAAGGCATCTGTGGAGGATGGGTAGGGTGCTTATTGTACCTGTCATTCTTTCCTGTACAGATGTGATACCACACACACTACACAAAAGCCTGGGAACATTACAGTTGAATAGAAATACATACATCACACTACAGAAGGCCACTATATTGAATACATGCCATATTGTTAGGAAATTTCTGAATACAGATACTGACACACTTATTTAATTTTAGTTTTGTTTTGGTTGCTATGCCTTGACTCTGATTCGGCATAGTACACAGCCATCGGTGTGAACCGAGTATAACCCACTAAACCCAACATAATAATAATAATAACAATAACATTAAGTGCAGAGCCCAAACGGTTAAGAGTTGAAAATTGAAATTTAGTACACAGTTAGTGTACGTCACAAGAATGTACACAAAGAAGGGACTTTCCAAAATTTTCTCCATGGAGGAGAGGGAGAGGGTTAAGGATTACCTTGAATTTGGGTTTTAATGTACTATTTTAAATGCAATTTTTTGCAGAAAATTAAACATGTTTTTAGACCATCTAGAAATTCTATAATTAGTCTCAGAAGAGGGTGAACCTAATTATTGCACCTGATAAAAACAAGTAAGATCAGCTATAATCTAATAATCTTAACTTTCGCTATCGTTAGTTTTTTCCCGAGCAGTGCCAGGCTCATCTGCTAGTAAATATATAGTCTCCATCACAAAGAAGTTTCTTTGCATATTTGGTGAAATTTTGAGGCTTATGCAAGTTATAATGCAGTGCAACAAAAACTAAGCTAAACAATTTTGATCTCAATTTGGCTACCACTTTTCAAGAATAACTAGTCAAATAACTACAATTTAAAAATTTGTAGCTTACTCCCTAGATTCAGTGTTTTCCAAACTATGTGATGCAATACACTTGGGTATTGTGGCACATGATTTGGGAAACACTGGTCTAGGAAACAGTTTGGTGCCTCAGGTGTGTTGCAGAAGTATTAAATATTTTTTAGAATATGAAATAAGCTTTCTTAAATTTTATTTGTTTTTGTTTGTGGGTTTAGTTAGCACACTACTTATTACTAGTGTTCAGTGGTTTTGTCCACTTGGCCACTGATTGGCTCAATTTTTTTTTTTAAATTAACTGTAAATTTGTGACAATTTTAAGCATTTTTATTGTGAAAATTATGGTGTGTTGCAGAAATCTTTAAATTTAAAGTGTTTTGCTAATCCAAAAAGGTTGGTTAACACTTCCCTAGACTAAACTTAATTACAGTAATATCTCGACTTACGCGAACCTGGAGTTACGCGATTATCAAATCTCATCGATTCATATTTTGTTTGAGCGCCACGCAACCCTTGATTACTCACTCCCTCCACACTATTGTTCAGCTTACATGTTTGGATGTGTTGTGCGGAATCGACACATAGCTACAATTTATTTTGTGTTATTTATTTCTGTGTTTGTTATATCTACGGAGACTTGAGAGACTTTAATATGTCATCCAAACGAAGTAGAACTAATTCTTCTGCATCAAACAAGAAAAGAAAAACTTTATCTTTGGAATGTAAAGTTAACATTGTGTATGTTCGTAAAGTCGAACAAGTTAAAACAAGAACGACGTCATCGTTATTCGTATTTCATTAGACTTTTCGAACGATTTGTTACTAACGCGTTTAACTCGTTATTATTAAAGACTTTGATACAAAAATGAAAATTTGTGAATTGGCAAAGAAGTTTGATCTACCGGAATTGTCGGTCAGAACAATTATAAAAGACAAAGAAAAAATTCTCGAAGCTGTGAAAAATGCTCAATCTTTAAATTCAAGCATCATTCGTAAATGTCACGGTATTATCGCTGAGATGGANTGTTAGGCAAATTTAATTTGTAAGATTTCTTTGTGAATTTCCGATAGATTTCAATTTCATATTTCTGCTTGTCGATTTTATGGAGATAATTATAATTTAATTTTTACGTCCCAAAGTGTCGAGAAAGTTCTTATTTTAAAACTATTACTAAAACAATGTAATACGATATCACATGCGTGGAGGTACTTTTATGAAAAATTCGGGCAAAGTTAGCCTATATTAATTCACTCTGTACATCTTAAAAATGTATGTGGGTGATAGGATCATACAATTACGAGTTTTAGTTGTTCTACCGTTTGAATTCAATTTACGTTACTTCGACCAGTGGCTAAGCGGTCTTCGTACCCTTAACACTTGGAGTTCGGTTGTGGGTTCTCGCCTCGCTCGGACGGGCTGGCCACGTGGAGCTTTCCGGGCTTTCTCCACGTCTGTAACGCCTAAATAAGGGCCGATTTTTCTTAAAAAGACCTCCCAGAAGGCATCCCCTTAAACAGATCGCCCAAGTGTTGCGTTGCCATACCCAAACAAACAATTTACGTTACGGGTCATTCGAAATTTAACATTGTTTTTTCGAATAGTATCGTTCTAACGTTCCAATCTGGAATTCGTTAAAAAAAAAGACCTGATGTAAACCTTGGTGAAGGCCGGAAACCTTCGGAGTTTTCGTTAATTTGTTACAGGTATTTGTTGTTGGTTTTTGGACTTATTGCCCACGTATAGTTCAGGCCTGCCACTAACCGAACCGTTGTTATGTAACTCCATAGGAAATTATCCTGGCTCTCGATAGAAATAGATAAGGCGTTACAAACTTTCAAACAAGCTGAATTTACAATGGCTTTCTGCAATCACTCGTAAATAATTTTTTAATTGTTGTAAATTAAAGTTTTCTTGACTAGGCCTATATAATATATTTATCACAGTGTCAAAGAAGATTGAAACATGTGAATATAAACTGACTACTGACTAAGACGACAAACATTCACGAGGGGAAAAAAGAAAAACACAAAGAAATAAAGTTTAATTAATAAATGGAATCAGATGGAGCACAATACACGAAGCAGTATGATGTTCATCATAAAAACAAGTACACAACACTTTGTGCATCTACAAAATGATTTTTTTTACGCTAGTGTTTTTAGAATAGTAAGAGCAGAACTTCGTTAACATTCATAAAAAATTGCCGCTTAATCCGTAAGTTTTGATGCAAACCACGCAAAACGCAGTATTTTTGCAAAAATTGAGTCTTTCAGTTTATGATGGACGATGTATTTCTGTAGAGATAACGATCAGGGGCGGATCTACGTAGGGACTAATAGGGCTTAAGTCCTGGGGCCCCAAGTGTCAAGGGCTCACAAAAATTGAATTATCATCTATATATATAAAATTGCTTGTCCTGACTGACTCATTCACTCACTGATTCATCATCGCCCAGAGCAAACCGCTGAACCTAAAGAGGTGAAATTTGGTACACAGTTAGGGTACGTCATGAAAACGCTCACTAAGAAGGGATTTTTCGAAATTCCCCCGCGGGGGGAGAGGGAGAGCATTAAGGCTTAACCGGAAAAACGGCTTCTACTGTACTATTTTAGATGCGATTTTTTGTTTTTATCTGCGTTTTAGTAGGGTATGCAATGGGAATGCCCCCGTTTTAGTAAGGTATGCAATGGGAATGACAGTTTCCAAGGCAGTTTACAAGATCCCGGGAGGCATTTTCCATTGACAGATTGCCCATGTTTGCTTTCCCTATTTGCGTTGAAATAAAACCATATCCATAATACTTCTTTTTTTTTATTTATGCTGTAGTAAGCAAATTAAACTGGGTTTTAAAGATATATTTGTTTGTAAAAAGTTCATTCAGATAAAAAAAAGTGAGTTCTCTACAATGTTTCAAATCTTATAAATGAATTTAGTGTTTCCTCTGTTGGAAATATTATTAAAGACAAAAAATAAACAACATATTCAAATAATATTTGAAATTTAAAAGATTAATTTAGGAGGGGGAAAAATGTTTTTAAAAGTCCAATAAAGATTAAATTTTAAGAAAAATGAGAAAAATAATTGCGGACGTTTTTATAAATTTATAATAGAATTGTGTTGAAATGCATTGAATGCAGTGCTGATATTTCGAGCCAAGTGAAACTCTCTACAAGATACTTTTTCTTCCATTAAACTTCTTAGTTCCAATAAGAGGGAAAATGCACTGAAGAGAGATTTAATAACCTAAAAAGACAATAATAAAGTTAATTTCAAAATACACTATATAAAAATATTATATAAAAAGTTACGAACTCGTAAGGGAAATGCTCTCGAAAGAGTAAAGAATCCTCCACAAGAAAATCCAATTTCTTTGTTATAAAACAGCTTCATGAAACACAACATCTAAAATAAATATCTGTGATTATTAGGGAAAGATAATCTTTCATAAAATTTAACTTGACATACGAAATATACCTTTAATTTCGTTTGAATGGGCAAATAAGAAATTGAGAATTTTCTTACTTCTTGATTTGATCCATAGAACTACATAATTTAAATACAATAAAACATGTTCTATATTATTGATAACTTTCAATTAGCTCCATAAAGATAGAAGGGAATATATTATAATATAATATATAAATAATAGCAAGTATTTAATTAAAAAGAAATATCTTACCAAGATAAAAAGTCGTGAAATTCCATAGGAAAGATATATCAAAGTAAGAGATACGCCTATGATGATTGGAATTAAAAAATATTTCATAATTAAAATTTCTGATCCTCCAATTGTTACATTATAAATGCACAAACACAATGAGTAAATACTCGAGAAGTAGCTGATGAATATACAATTTTCAAAAGTATGATTTATGTGGTTTAAGAATCGATATACCGCTTCGTGATTCTTCATGTTTCGCTGAATCTTTCGATGATCCATCACTTTTATTGCATTTTCGGTAGCTTCTAGTATTTTCGACATCTTCATTTGAATCAAATATAAAATGACATTGACTATCATTATTAAAAACATGATTAGATTGATTGCAAATATACTATATAAAGCATAAAGAGATCCACAGACAAAACGAGTAATATTGTTTTTACCAGAGTGAAAGAGATATGCCAATAATAATAATATTGGAATTACAGAAATAGTAAAAAAATGGATGGTGCCCCAACACATAATAATTATTCTTTGAAATTTCATTACTTGACAGAATTCTTTAATATTGACAGGAATATTTATTGATAGTTTTTTATTTTTCAAAAAAACAGAAATTAAGAAACAACAGTTTGAAATAGTGAAAAATAAACTACCGAAAAAGACTGTACCTTGTTGAGAAGAATGGTCTTTTAGGCATCCAGTTTGAAATCCTTTTAATTTATAAAATATTTCTATTGCTTTGGAAGAAGCAGAAATGAAGAAAATTAATTGCACGAATACCAAATATATTTTCAATAGTCGAGATTTTACATCACATTGTATACTTTTGCACGAAGATAATATATCCAAACCGATGGTTTTCAGTAGAGAAAATGAGGGAAGAAATAAACAATTCAAACATAATTGTTCTTTCATTATTTCGAACGAAACGTTTGAATTCGAATTCATTTTCCTGTATTGAATTGGGCTACTCTGAAATAAATGTTTTTTAATGAAAGAATATAAATTTTTAACGGTTGAGTATCGAGATCAGATGGCTTCGGATAAAGTAACTAATTTACAGCTGAGGGGATCAACGTTTGTATACAATTCAGTTCCTTCTTTCAGTATCGAGGCGTCTTTCTTCACGTTTCTTTCCTTTCTAGAATGTATTAAGAATAAACCTCAGCCGAATTTTATGGATGAAAATTGAATTCGAGCATTTATGTAATCTGTGAGTTATGATATAACACTAATTGACTATACTTAAAAGGTATGGCAGTAAATCTAAATTATAATTCATTAGCTTTGTTTACATAATTAGAAGATAAACCATTAAAATTCTTACATTCACTTTATTTTCTGATAGCAATTACATAAATCGATTAAATTTATTAATTTAGGACTATTCTTTAAGCATTTCTGATATTTAACTATTCAGTAATTTGTTCTAATTTATTTTCCATTAGGATTGTTTATTCTGCAAACAAAATCAATTTTATTTAATGCGATCAAGAAAGACTATGTTTAATGCACTGATTAACACTAATAGCACACGAAAAGATAGCTTAAAAATATCTAGGCCTATTTATCCGAAGTAAATGATAACTATAACCGAATTATGAAAACAATAAGCGAACTTTTATAAGTATATTTTAAAACATATGTTTAATTATAGAACACTCAAATTTTTATAACATTAAACTGATAATATACGTGGTTACAACTAGGATATCATTCGTTGTTTTCAACGTCTGCATATTGAACTGAGAGAGATTTACGCTTAAATATATACAGTGGTACCTCAGGATACGAAATTAATCCGTTCCGAAACTGAGATCGTATCATGAAAATGTCGTAAGGTGGATCATCTTTTCCCATACGATTACATGTAAAACCAAATAATTCGTTCCAACGCGAAAAACATACTCAAATTAAAGCCAAGTAATACATTA